TTTTTTTTTTTTTTTTTTTTTTTTTTTTTTTTTTTTTTTTTTGAAGGGAATATTTTTTTTACTCCATTCACTTCTTGCATTCTAATTGTATTTCGCTTTCTCCGTGGTTGGATGGAAGTTTTCAGTTATAGCCACTCTGAGCCCTGGTCAAACACAGTTGAGGCAGATGGAGAAGCCCATTCTTATTCTGCTCTGAGCTTAAGCTATGCAAATAAAGTTAAGTCTTGCCTTAATCTTGACTGCCAAATTTTTTATGCTATCCTGAGTTATACTAAAGGAGGAAACAAAAAGGAGGCCTCCATAAAGATGCAGAGGAGAGATGATGCATGGAGTGAACCATAGGAAGCTAATGGATAATGCTTCAACAATTGACCACTTTTCGCTAGCATTCTGCTGCCATTTTTAATGCAAATGCCTTATTCGTCCTCTGCACCTAAACATTATAGCTTTATGAAGTTTATTTAAAAGACTTAACATTTTATTAATAAAATGTTTCCCATGTGCAAAAGCACTTCTATTTCTGTTTGCCCTAATTTTGTTGCCAATGTCATTAATCTTGTAATGACACTGTTTAAATGCCAGGGAAAGCACCTCTTCATTGTCTATAGTTTAACTTTTAAGTACCATGTGCGCTGATTCCATTTGATAAATATCTCAAGGTCAAAAGTCGGCTTTTTGCTACAGATTCTCTTAACTTAAAACACTAATAAAGGTTAAGCCTGAAAACCAAGTTCCAAGGTAATGGAAAAATACTGTACATGTGTTTTGAGTAATTAGGAATCCAGTTTGAAGATGTTGGTACTTTTGTGCCTTGATAAAAGAATCTCTAAAACATAGTGCTTGATGTAGCATTTAAATCACATTTAACCACTATTCTCCACTATAAATTTTGCAAACCACATTCTATTGGCAAACAAGCCTTGAGTCGCTGTATAACTAAAAATTCTTTTTGCTGCTGTTGAAACCTGTGAGCTGCTTTCTTCTTGGCAGGAGACAGTGGTGTGTCTGGAAAAGATTTCTGCATTGTTTCAAGCATTACTGCACATGGAACATTGAAATCCTGCTAATCTTGTGTTTCTCTTTCAAGTGCCAAAAGCACCAAAACAACTAGCCTGATGCAGCACACCTTCTATACTTTCACAGCTGTTGAAATATCAAGGGCTGATCTTCTTCTTCTTCTTTCTTTCTTTCTTTCCTTTTTCCCCCTGTCTCCTTTCTCTTTTTTACTGTTATTCCTGTAGTATAAACTCAGCATTCAGTACAGGCATGTAGTGCTTCAACTCCAAAGTATATAAAGCTTTGAGACCATTTATTATAACTTTTCTCTTCTGCATTGACTACTTTTAAATTTTAAATCTTGACCCTCAGCTGGTCTAATACTCTTCAAAAATGTCAGCGGTTTTTGGGTTTCGTATGTATGTTGACAGTTTAAGAACTGTTTATGAAAACCTGTTCAAGTTAGAAAAATTCTGGCAGCTGCTTGTAGTTGTGTGATACTGACCTTTTTGGACTTGACAGGTGGATTCAGTCTTCTATTGATACTCTGATAAATGAAACTGGCAACAAGGTGAAAAGCCATTAGTGCAATGAATTTTATAGAATTCAGTGAAAACGTTCTGATACAGCAGTTGGAAATAGTCAACATGGTGAGACGTCTGTTCAGAGCATTTGAACTGTTTGGACAAATAAATGTTGTTAGCTACAGATTTGAACTACTAGTACGTTTTTCTTGTCATAAAGACAAAAAATGCGAGGTTTTTATGAGCATGATTTTTTTTTTTTTTTTTTGTAACTGAAAGCTAGACTTGCATGCTTTCCCTTCAACAGATTTGGTTGAATGAGCAAGTTGATTGTATTCAGTTCTCTGTATACTTGGGTTTATGTTTTTCCTACATTTCATGTTGTTATATGTACTATTTCCAGCTAGTGCAACAGCCATCAGGAGGCATGGGAAAACCAGTGGCCACCCTTCCACAAACCTCTGTGCTGACTCTTCAAACACCCGCTAATAAAAGGATGCCACTAAATGCGCTAATTCAGTCTAACCAGTTTCCTGCAGGTAGGGTTAGACTTCTAAAATTCATTTTTATTTATTTGTAACATGGCATTTCTTCATTGTAACATTAGCAGGATGATATATTGGAGGGAAGTAGGAAAACGCCTGATTGTGTTGGAATTGGTTAATTCTGTTGGGTGTCTGCTTGGAATGGCTTTCTCAGCAGAAGCTTACTAGTGTTCTAGCCACTGTGTATTTTTGCCTGTTTAGAAAACATGCCATAAACTATGACCTGATAAACAATGCCTTTCACTTGAAAACTTGTCTGACTCTTTCACAACCATTCCATTGGTCCAATAAAGGAGATCAGCCATAAAGAAGTCCTTGCCTTTTGCATAATTCCTGGATAGTTACAGCTACAATATTATTCCACCACACCAAAAAAGTGCTTCCCCCCCTTGCTTTTTGAGTGCTCAAAATAGACTTATCCCAGTAAAGTACTGTTTCTATAAACTGCTTCCACTTTTTGGTTCTGGAAAGTCAGGATATTGATGAGACTTTTCCAAGTACCGGTTAATGTAAACCAAAGTTTACCAAATTAGGGATTCTTTTCTGACCAGCCTGTTTCAACACCTAATCTGTGCTAGTGAGAAAGGTAGTGAGTTCCTGCTTTTTATTAAGAAGAACATTTTAATTTCTGAGCCATGCAAAGTTTGTAGAACGTATTGCTCTTTTCCAATGTCTGATTTCGGAATAGACCGAAATGGCCCATTGTTGTTCAGTTTGGAACAGACGCTTGCATTTTTAAGGTATGAGTTGAATTGGTAGTCACTCTGTTTTCTGTTGTGTGATGCTGATACTTTTTAGGTTCCATTGTGAAACAGATCACCCTGCCAGGAAATAAACTTCTGTCGCTTCAAGCATCTCCTGTTCAGAAAAATAAAATAAAAGAGAACGGAACAACATCCTTCAGGTAAAAATAAACAAAGTCGGAAGTTTGTGTGGCTCTAGGAAGCAAGACTTCAACAAAAGGCACAGACAGCACTAGCAATTTGGGGATTTAAGTTAAATAAAAAATAAATATTTTAAAGGCTTCTGCTGGGTGTTTTTATCTGTTAATGCTAATGGGGGGAAATATCTAAAATCATTTGACCTAAAAATGGATACATTTGTTCTTGATGTATGGAGAATTTTGTACTGTTTGTGCTGGTGTTTTTATCATGTAGTTACTAGTGTGTTACCGTCAAGTAAGTGTGTGTGTGTGTGTGTGTGTGTGTAAATGATCTTTTGAATGAAGGACACATGTCAATCCTCTGCCATATGAAATCAGTATTAGATAATCTAAAGTATTGGTATTTTGTAACAAAAGCCCTAGTTCGAGTTAAACTAAAAGGAACTTCTGCTCGCTTCAGACAGCCAGATTTCACTGAACTAATTTGGACTGTGCTGGTAACCTGTTAATACAGTATGGAGCTCTTTAACACATTCTTTATTACCTCTTCTTATATGCTTATCTCTGTAGTGAGAGGTGAGACTCTGGCTAAATCACTAATTGTAGCTGCTAGGGAAAATTACCCACCTTTTAGATTGCTACAGTACTTTAAAGGTCTAATCTGAGTAACTCATTAAATTTCAGAACTACAAAATTGGTTTTCCTTATGGAAAGTTTAATGTTGGAACAGTGGTAGGGAAAGGCCGAGACTACGATAAGTGGTTTCTCTTGTGACTTTTAAATCAAGCTTGAAACTAGTCTTCTGCAGAGGAAAGATCGGGACATTATGACCTATAATCTATTGGCTAAATTCTAAACTCTAGCAAAAGTCCAACATAAATGTAAATTGATACAAAAGTAAAACTCCTTACTTAGCATAACATGCAGCATACATTTTCAGAGAAAATAGCAGAGTGAAAGATGGTCAGTAGTCAAAACATGGAAAAAACAACTAATGCTCTTGAACTCATCATTTCTACTGCTCCTTTTAAATTCCTTATCCACCAAGGCCCTGTGTTGCTTTCCATGCTGGAATTACTTTTCTAGGAATGTGCACATAAAACTTGAGGAAAATCTTTGCTTTTCCCTGGTGTGGTTCCAAGTAGATTTCTGCTTTTCAGAATTTATTGATGCTGTCAAGTGGCTTAAGTCAATGGGCATTGAGCACTTAACTAACCTAGATCCCTCTGAAAATTGCAGCATGGATTTCTACTGGAGTTTAAAATTCAACTGGTAGAATATAGCTAAACTAAATTGAGTGCACAGCAGAGAAAGCATTTTTAATATTTCTTTACCAGTTGAGGGAGATTCTGATTTTTCTAATGCTGGCCAGGTCTGTCTCCTTTCCTGTTTTTACTTCCTTATCTTCCTCCTAAGAACTGAAGAACCCTTTTCAGAATTGAATAATTTGCGTGTCAAGTGTTCCTCAGATCCAAGTGATTTTTTTTTTTTTTTAATTTTTTTAATTAAATGAATTTAAGCATGGTCCGCTATAAAAATAAGATGTAAACTAAAGCTATATATGGGTATTCAGTTTCTCCTGGGAGAGCAGTGACTTCCCAGGAGAAACCATGAATGTACAGATGTGTTCAGGCTTTTTCTTCCAAAATAAAAATGGATATACGAGGATAAAAATGACCAGGGAAGAACCAGCATTTTAAAAAAAAACTTCCAGGAGAGTGAACCTCTGTATGTGTTCTTTGTCAGAATTCTCCCTAAATGCCTGTGAGGAAAGGATGGACACTATAGCTTCTTGTGTAAGCTGCATGGCCCAAATTTTGCTGTATTTACAAAACAGCTTCCTGACAGATCCCTGCATCTTTAGGAATGGCTTCACCACCATGCCTACAGGCATTTCCAAACAAGCGTGGACATTTGTTTCCCTGGGAACAAGTAGCTGTGGCACACCTTGTGCCACTGCTACTTGTCTCTGGGGAACACCTGTGCCATGTGTGCTCTGGCATGTGGCATAAGAGAGGCTAGGGCTAACAATTATGATGGCCTCTGCAGCTTTACCTGGGGTCCTGGAGGCTTCCCTGGGCTGCAGCTGTGGGAGACAGCCTGACCAGCAGTTGGCGTGCAGTTCTGGTAGACCAAACTCCGGTTTTGGGTGGCGCATGCTGCCACCATGTGTGTTGCCCCACTTGGTGTGGATTATTTTGACCCCTGGATCTCCTCTCTTCCTCCCCCCCCTTTACTATAAGGTAGCAGTGTGGGGAATGCTTACATGTGCAGTGTGGCACCACATACCATACACCCATGCTCATCTGGATGTGGCCTAAGGGTGCTGATAGAATTCTTGCCCATTCTTCAGGTTGCTTCATCCACTCTATCAATCAGAATAGTTTCACTTGGATTGCCTGTTTAAGGACCCAACTTTTAGTCCAGGGTGGCAGAATGTAAATTGGGGTTAAATACTTTTTTCCAGCATTCTTACCCCCCACCCCAACTCCCTGCAACAACAGAAATTAAATAAAAGATGGAATCAGTCAAAATCATATACACTATTCAAACACCAGAGGGTGCCAGAGGCCCATTTTTCCTCCAGCATATTCAGGTTTAGAAAATAAAGCATATCTATGTTACCTGGCTTTTATTTCAGTTTACTGTGAATTTTGAGCAGAGAGAAATGGACAACTGAACTATTCCCTTTCAGCCCTCCCTCAACATTGTTAAGCTGATACCCTCCTTGAATTTTAACCTCTAATAATTGAAAAGGGTGTTTTTGAAAACTAACACAATACCAGAAGTCATAACGTTCACTGAAATAGCTATACAGTTGTATTGCACAGAGAGATCTTTAAAGTGAAGACGAGCCAATTTCCGGTAGGAAGGCCAGACTCGAATCATTTGAAAATATTTCTGTCTGATGACCAGAGTTTATCTTATCCCAGCTAAAAATGCACTTCAACTGAGATGATAAAAGTGGAGTTATGTGGAGCACCACTTGAAATGTGGTGAACAGTATGTATTTCTTGAACAATGAAAGGCTTGTCAGGAATTGGAAATGATTGTTGAAGTCCATACAATATTATTACTCCTTGCTAAACACTACTTTGGTTGTACTTCTCTTCTAGAGTTGCGTTTTGGTAAAGAAAATGTATGCTTTATTTACCTGTGTGCAAATTAGTATTCACTGGTATTTTATTCATCCAGGCTAGTAACCCAATGTATAGTACAGTCCAGCTTCGTATGGTAGAGATAAGTTAAAATCTGTCTGTAAAGTGTAAGAATTTAAAAAAGTCTGTTTGTCCAAACCAAAGCCCTTTCAGTGTATATTATTAACAACATTGTAGAAATTTAGTGACAGGGCTGGTTTAGATTTGTAATTGAAACACTGGTAGAACTATATAGCTTTGTTTTTCAACCTGTGGTCTGCAGACCCCTGGGGGTACACAAACTATGTCTAAGGGGTTTGTAAAAGATGACTATAATGAATTTAAAAGTATGTGAATACCTACATTTTACAATTCAAATGGGGTCTGCACCACCATTCAACTTTTTTTTTTTTTTTTAAGTGTCTGCAAATAAAAGTTTGAAAACCACTGCTATGTAATATGAGGAAGATTCTGTTTTATAATTTGGCCATTGTAATCTGTCTCCCTTACTAAATTATGAGTTGGAAGGGAAAAGAAGGTAATTTTAGGCTAAACTACAATGAAAATCTACCTGAGATGTAAGCTTATTCAATGTTATCTCTTGGCTCTTATCAGGTAGAGCTCAGTGCTAAGTTTTAGTATTTGTCTGTCTGCTGGCTCATTGTGTGTGCTGTGTTGGTGGCTACAACTGATTTCATGAACTCCTTTACTAGCTGATCCATGGAAGGAGCTGTACTACAGTGGGGCATGTTGTCTCAACTGCAGCAAAAAAAATTGTGGTGATGGTAGTTTATTAGGAAGAGGAAATTGAAGTATAGTTGTGAAAATCAATTAGCACTCAATTACCATGCACCAAAGGCCAATTTGCACATTTCCTGAAAGATTAAGAATTTCATTCTGCTGATGTGTTATGAATATGTATTTGAAATGGTTCAACCACTAATGGCAAGTAGGGGAAGTACATTTATTTTTATATGGTGACCTCAGCTTTCAGTCATCACTGTACTCGTATAACTGTTGTGAAAAATCTTGCGATTTAGCTTTTACCTTGGCGTACTGAACTAGGGCAGAGGACCAGCCAGGAAGTTTAGTTAGACTGAAGAATGAATGAAACTTGATTTCAAGAATCAGTCTCCATTTCCCTAAGCAAATTATATATAATGTGCTTGGCTGTAAAGAGGCACACATGAAGTGGTGGGGGGGGCACTTTCCTCCTTGTGCTTTTTAAGTTGTGTGCACACCAAAAAATAAATGGTGCCTAAGCCAGTTGAAGTAGAGGAAGAATATCTAAATTTTAAAAAAATATCCTCTGTATTTAGATTACTATTGCTACATTTAGGGATCTTGTAGCACCTCTTTTTAAAATCAGCATTGACTTCTGCTCAGAAAAACTAGGGAAGAAGCTATGGTTGTCTTCCAGTCAGAAAACAGCCTAACCCAAACAGCATGCTATTTCACCTAGAAATGTTTACCCAAGAATATGGGCCAATAGTTGGGCCTTTTAGTGACCTTGTAGGGTGTACTGTACTCCAGTTTGAGACCTCTCTGGTAACACCCAGCCAGCAGCTTTTGTCAATTGAAAGAAGCTCCAGAAAGCACTTGTACTCATTTCAGCTGTGATGTCTTCAAGCTCTAGAGACTGTCTCTCCTTCATCTTTGAAGGACCAGAGTCCAAAGTATCCCACATTCTTGTTGCAGTGCCTATGCATTGCAGCAGTCGGAGGCTTTTTTTTGCCTATTAATCCTAACCTAAATAGTTAAAGACTTTGGATTGCCCAACTGCTAAAGCTGTACAACTATTTCTTCCATACGAATTTTTGCTGAAGGATTTATGCAGCATATTAACTTCAGATCTTTCATAGAAAGTTTGAATAAGTTTTCTTTTTCCACCCATTTTAACTAAACATTAATTTCATTTTGACTACTCCCAGCTCAGTATGATGACATTTTAAATTCTACATGATCTGAAGCTTGGAATTGCAGCAGCGTTGTATCAAAATTATGTGCAAGCTGTGTTTTAGCCCTTCTCTTTTCCCGCAATATACTCTCTAGCTTAACGGTTAACCTTGATCAGCCTGGCAGTGTGCATCTTGAACTTTTCAGTTCTCACATTTATTTCCCTTCCTTCTCCATAATGCAGTAACACAGTGCCCATGGTTCTTTTTGCTTCTGGGAGGGAAAGTACAAACCTTTTGGAATACAAATGGGAGAAATGCCACAGCACCGTTAAATTTGTTAGGTATTTTACCTCGAGAACAGGAATGTCGCTAATTGCAGAGTTTGTGTAGTTGGAAAAAAAGGATCATCTTGGTTATGCAGCAGTTGGCCCTGAAGTGATTTGGATGGATGAGTTGACTCAAAGAATGAAACCTGGTTTGATTTGATTTATTGCAATATTAAAATAAATCTTAAGGTAACTGCCCTGAAAATGGAGACTTTTAACCTTAACATCGTACTGTTGTGCATTGGTATGAAGAGGTATTCAGTTGTTAGTCTGTAGCATTTGTTAAATAATAAGCTTCTCATCTTGGGTTCTGTTGGAACTCCTCAGTGTGTTAGGGATCTAAATGTGTTTCTAAAACCTAACAAATAGAATGAACTGCATGATTAGGGGTAAATTATTTGGAGTAGATCTTGCAGAATGAGGAAAATCATCTACCAAAAAAATTTCAGAATTGAGAGGTGATAGGAAGTTGATTTGTTCTGAATACTTCCTACAGATAGCTTTTGTTCTTTTTTTCTGTTATCTTTAGCCCTTCTCGTATATTAAAACAAAGTAATTTCTTGGTCTTGCTTGGTATCTGTGCCCTTCAGTCAGAATAACAGGAGGGAGGGACTTACGTTGAATTCTCAAACTTTAGCACGCTTGTTTGTTCATGATGCATCGGGTGAACTACATGTATGACTGCTCATTTTAACAATAGATCATGTTTGTATTATCATATTTCCTCGCATCAATCTTGTACTCTTTCCAAAAGAATTGGCAGCTGGTTTGAGGGGGAAAAGACTGTCTGAGTGGAAAAAGGAGTCCCAGTAGAACTGGCTGTATCTTAAAGAAACCTCACTGAAAATGTAAGAACAAACCATCCTGATGCACAGGAAAATTGGCAAGTATGGCAGAAGACCAGCTTGGCTTAGCAGGGAACTCTTTAGTAACACAAAAGAGTGTTTTTTTTGTTTGTTTGTTTGTTTGTTTGTTTGTTTTTGTTTGTTTTTTTTTAAACACAAAAAGAAAGTTTTTATAAGAAGTGGAAACTTGGACAAACAGCTGGGGAGGTGTATAAGGGTATTGTTCAGGCATGCAGGAATGAAATTGGGCCGGTCAAAGCCCAACTGGAGTTGCAGCTAGCAAGGGAAGTGAAAGGTAACAAAAAGGGTTTCTACAAGTATGTCATCAATAAAAAGATCAAGGAAAGTGTGAGCCCCTTACTAAAGGGGGGGTGGCAGGGGGTGGGGGGATGCAGTCTGGTGATTAGAGGATGTAGAAAAGACTGAAGTACTCAATGTCTCTTTCACCTTAGTCTTCACAGGCAAGGTCAGGTCCCAGACTACTGCACCACGCAGCACAGTTTGGGGAAAAGGTGAGCAGCCAACAGTGACAAAAGAACAGGTTAAGGACTTTTTTAGAAAGCTGGATGTGTACAAGTCCATAGTCCAGGCATGATGCACCTGAGGGTGCTTAGGAAATCGGCTCATGTGATTTTAAAGACAGTGGCCAGTAGCTCTACAAACTCATGGCGATTGGGAGAGGTCCTGGACAATTAGAAAAGGGAAATATATAGTGCCCATCTTTTAAGAAAGGGAGGGAGGATGATCCAGGGAACTACAGACTAGTCAGCCTCACCTCAGTCCATGGGAAAATCATGGAGCAGGTTCTCAAGGAATCCACTTCTAAGCACATAGAGGAGATGGTGACTAGAACCAGTCAGCATGGGTTCACCAAGGACAAGTCATGCCTGGCCAACCTGATTGCCTTCTGTGATGAGGTGACAGGCTCTGTGGATGTGATATACCTTGACTTAGCAAGGCTTTTGATACAGTCTCCCACAACATGCTTGCAGGCAAGCTAAGAAACTACAGGTTGGATGAATAGACTGTAAAGTGGATAGAAAACTGGTTGGATCATCAGACTTAAAGGGTAGTAATCAATGGCTTGATGTCTAGTTGGCAGCCAGTATCAAGTAGAGTACCCCAGGGGTTGGACCTGGGGCTGGTTTTGTTCAGTACCTTCATCAGTGACCTGGAAGATGGCATAAAGTGCACCCTCAGCAAGTTTGCAGATGACACCAAGCTGGAGGGGAGTAGTAGATGTGCCGGATGGTAGGGCTAGAATTCGGGGAGACCTCGACAAATTGGATGGTTGGACCACAAGAAATCTCATGAGGTTCAACAAAGACAAGTGCAAAGTCCTGCACTTAAAACAGAACAATCCCATGCACCAGTACAGGCTGGGGACCGACTGGTTAAGCAGCAGCTCTCCAGAAAAGGACCTACAGGTTACAGTCAACCTAGGGGTTACAGTGTTGAGTATGAGTCAACAGTGTACCCTGGTTGCGAAGAAGCCTAACAGTAGACTGATGTATACTGGCAGATCAAGGGAAGTGATTCTTACCATCTGTTTGACACTGAGGCCACATCTGGAGTACTGTGTCCAGTTTTGGGCCCCCCACTATAGAAAGGATGTGGACAAATTGGAGAGAGTCCAGCAGAGGGCAATAAAAATGGTTAGGGGGCTGGGGCACATGACTTGTGAAGAGAGGCTGAGGGAACTGGGTTTATTTGGTCTGCAACAGAGAAGACTGTCAGGGGCGGGGGGTTGGGTATAGCCAGCTTCAGCCACCTGCAAGGGGGGGCAGGTTCCAAAGAGAACAGAGCTAGACTTTTCTCAGTGGTAGCAGATGACAGAACGAGGAACAACGGTCTCAAATTGCAGCAAGTGAAGTTTAGGTTAGATATTAGGAAAAACTTTCTCACAAGGAGGGTAGTGAAGTACTGGAACAGGTTACCCAGAGGGGTGGTAGAATTGCTATCTTTGGAGGTTCTTAAGACCTGGCTAGACAAAGCTTTGGATGGGATGATCTAGTTGGGGCTGGTCCTGCTTTAAGCAGTGGGTTGGACTAGATGACCTGCTGAGGTCGTTTTCAATTCTAATTTTCTATGATACTATGATTTATTGCTAAGACAGTCATACATGTAGTGGTAAGTGTGCGTGCTTTAAGCAAGGAAATATGTTAATATCAGCTGCTGCAATTTGTCTCTGCTGGGAGAAAGAAAAAGTAATGCTACACTTTTGTACAAGGTGTGGAGCTCAGTGAGCACATGGGACTCCCTAGCTGCCAGTTATGAACACATTTATCTCCTCTTTTCCTCCCCCCCCTCTTGCCTCCCCCACCTGCCCATGGCATGCTGCAGCTGGGGAACTGGCATGCTGCAGCTCTATGTTGTGGGTGGCAGTAATGGAATGGCCATAAAGTTTTGTTCCCCTTAGTGGCAGCTGCCTGTGTGTTGCCCCCTCCCCTCCCACGGAAATACTGTACGTACCAGTATTTTCAAGGAAACATGTTTTTGTTTTCTCTCTCCATTCTGTCTTTCGAAAAAACAAGGCATGTGCCTTTAATTTTGTGTAGTGTTATATGTGAGAAAATATGGTAATTCTGAAAAATTATGATAAAGGAAATTTTTTTTGTGGTAGAGATGAAGATGATATCAATGATGTAACTTCTATGGCTGGGGTCAACCTTAATGAGGAGAATGCATGCATCTTGGCAACAAATTCTGATCTAGTTGGTACGGTGATCCGATCTTGTGCAGACAATCCATTCCTCTCCTCAGAGGTGCTGCAAAAGAAAATTTTAAACATAGGTAAGAACAAATTATCTTTTCTTGTAATGTGCAATTGACAATCTGAGTTCAGTGCTTAAATAATAACTTATTTATTTTGACAAGTGTTACTTTGAAGATGGGGTTGGGTTGTATTATAACCCATTGTCTTGAGTTCATAAAGTTGTATATAGTTTGCAAAGCAAAAAAAAAAAAAAAAGCTATATTTCGTTTCTACTTCAGCTTCTAACCAGAAAGTTGGCTCTCACTTTGTGACTGGAAAAATATTTTGTAAAATTACCTGTAGGGGGTGGGGGGAATAGGAACTTTTTACAAAATAGGAAAAACATCACAGCTGTTCATACACTTTTTCCCTGGGTTACTTTATCTCTTCAGGATGATAGGGCTATAACAGATACGTAGCAGTGTGAGTTGCCCACTGGGATGTGATGGTGGTTAGATCAGATTTCTACATATACAGCACATGATGGAGAGATTGGAGTAACTGCTGCTTTTTCCCCAGTGTAGGGGCAACTCTCAGACTCAACTATATTGCTTATGTATGCTATAGATATACATTGCAGATTCTGCCTACGTGATTTAGAAAAGCAGCCATGGAACTGCCTGTTCAATAAAGCATTTCTCTTTAGTAAGGAAGTGCCATTTCCTTCTACTCTCTGTGCAGCTGTGGTAAATTTTAAAAAAAAATCATTTTCAACACTGTCTTTTTGATGTACGTAGCATCTGCTGCTTGATGCAGTAGGATGCTGAGGACTACTGCTTCCTCCTTCAAACCCCTTAAGCCTGTTTCTGCTTTGAATCCAAAAATGTAAAGCATGTTAAAAGAATTGGATAAGAGCATAGTAAAGCCCAGTCTCTAATTTATATGCATAGATTTATATGTATTTGTGCATGTTATAGAAGCTTGATAGTCTCAGTCTGCTATGCCCTGCCATTGGCGAGTATTAGATTATATGCTATTCAGAGTCAGGATTGTGTGGTTTTTATGCAACCCCTAGCTGTCTGAAGCCCCAGTCCAGTTTGGGACCTTCAGATTCTTTTTTTAAATTACCTTGGTTTGCTTGTTCTTATTCTTCCTAGTCTTTGCCTGGCAGCCTTAATCGAACATTAAGCTTGAACCAGTTAAGTACTGTCAGGAAATACCAAAGTGTATATGTGCAGCCACAACTTGTGCAGTCTCAAGCAGGTCCAAGGAGGTGATCCTCCCCCTCTATGCGGCACTGGTCAGGCTGCAGCTGGAGTACTGCGTCCAGTTCTGGGCGCCGCACTTCAAGAGGGATGTGGACAGCATGGAGAGGGTCCAGAGGAGGGCCACTCGTATGATCAAGGGACAGCAGGGTAGGTCCTATGAGGAAAGGTTGCGGGACCTGAACCTGTTCAGCCTTCAAAAGAGAAGGCTGAGGGGGGATCTTGTGGCCTGTTATAAACTGGTTAGGGGGGATCAGCAGGCGCTGGGGGAGTCCCTGTTCCCCCGAGCGCCGCAAGGAGTGACCAGGAACAATGGTCACAAGCTGGCGGAGGGAAGGTTTAAGTTGGACATCAGGAGGCGCTACTTCACGGTCAGGGCGGCTAGGGTCTGGAACCAGCTTCCAAGTGAGGTGGTGCAGGCTCCCACCCTGGGGGTTTTTAAGAGGAGGTTGGATGACCACCTTACTGGGGTCATTTGACCCCAGTGCTCTTCCTGCCATGGCAGGGGGTCGGACTAGATGATCTGCTCAGGTCCCTTCCGACCCTAGAAACTATGAAACTTCTTGTGTGTGTATGTGTGTTACAATAGTCAGATTACATGGCCATGCTGTTTTTTTCAAAATGGAAGAAAATAGAGTGAGATTGTTAATACTGTACCCAGAAAGATTTACATATGCCTAAAAACACAGTTAACTCAAATCCATATAAGCAACCTGTAAGAAGTACTGAATCCAGGAGCAAAGAACACCTGGATTTCTGGTCGTTGCTCTCAAGATTATTTAGACATTTTTAGCTAATGCCTCGAACATAATTTTAGAGCTGTCTATTAATCACAGTTAGCACATGCGATTAATGCAAATTGGTTCTTGCATTAATTTTTTTAATATGTTAATCGCACACATGGTTTTGGAGCCTGCACCTGGGCTGTGCTCCGCTGCCACCTCCAGGCCACCCAGTGAGGCAGTGATGGCAGCACAGAGGACCACAGGGCAGCCCAGGCATGAGCTCTGTGTGGCTGCAATGGTGGGCGGGGGGCACAGACTCACAGGAGCAGCTGCTGCCTGCGCTCTGTGTAGAGCAGCGCTGCACTAGTAAGTCTGTGG